CAGGATCTCTCAAGAACACTAGATCTTTTCATAAACATAATGCACAGCCCTGGAGACTACTACTGGGAAAAACCAAGCAGCTCAAAGGTTTATTCGCACACAGTTAATGAAGCATATGCAGATTTATTTCCTGCATGCCAGAACCTTTCCATGCTTATTGCTTTCAGTATCAATAAGTAATAAGTTGAGGGCATAAGAAATGAATGGGTGGTAATTAAACACTGGCAATAAAAGAGCTTTTGCAAAGTAAATCAAGCTGAACTGCAGTTGGCAACGAAGTTACAGAGGTCACCCAGCCCAACATAAAGGATTTGCCCCTGATAGAAAAGGTGCAAAATTATGAACATGCAGCTTCTTCATTTGAAGCCTGCCACAAGAAGAGCAGCGAACTCCCCTAAGCTAGTTGGGGGACAGCTGCCAGACCAGTCTGGAAGATGACCAGTTACACTTTTGACCTGGCAATGCACTGCAAGGATAATAAAAACTATGGAAGCACATACATAAAATGCTCTTACGTGGTGAAAGACAGAAGTTGTTTGCACCATCACTGTTTAGAGATGTTACAAAATTCCTGCCAAATTTTTCTTAAACTGGATTCCAGGATAAATTCCTCACCTGGAAACTGCATAAGAAATGAAACTTAGTGTAACTTGGAGACAGAAATCTCACCTTGCATGCTCTAGAGCTCATGGGACAATGTGAGATCAAAGATATAATTGGTCTTTTACCACACTGAAGATTCCAAAGGTCACTTTTTTTATTCCAGCAGGACAAAACACTGCCCTCCATCACACCTGGTACAGAGCTTATAGAGAAGCAGGTATATTATATTCATACGTTGCAGAGACAAAATAGGCCTACAATGACCCTTTAGAATGTGACATCTGAAAGTCCTGGAGTAAGTGCTGAATCCTGAAGTATGATAAATGCTGAGTCAAAAGAAGTTATTCTATTGCTCCTTCAGAAACAGAAGCTACTATCCAGAATTAATTCCAACCCTTCTTTACTCCCCACCCCAACAATTTTGGATGGTGGGAAGGCTGCCTCTTCATCTTCCACTTTAGAGCAGTGGTTCCCAACCTTGGGTAACCAGGTGTTCCTGCACTTCAAGCAGAAGGACTTCCTGGACTGCAGTTCCCATAAACATTGGCCAGCACTGCTGGTGATGGCAGCTTCTGGGAACTGCAGTCCAAGAAAACCTGGGTTACACAAAGCTGGGAGCCACTGCTTTGGAGTGATAAATTGTCAAGGTCATTATGGGAGAAGCAGTTTGCTTGTGAGGCTGCCAGCTCAGTTCCTGTTGCTGCCACCTGCACTGTTAAAGTAAGTAAGTAAGTAAGTAAGTAACGGGAGAAGCAGTTTGCTTGTGAGAGTGCCAGCTCAGTCCCTGTTATGAACATGCAGCTTCTTCATTTGTGAGTGAGTGAGTGAGTGAGTGAGTGTGGGGAGCATATAACCAAAAACCTGTGGTACAACCATTGTAGATATGGCTCCCTAGCTGTGATAAATTATTGAAGAATGTTTCCTTCCCCTGGAGAAATCTAAGTGAAACAGTTTGTGCACACTCAAGTTTTAACCACCAGCAAGAAAAGTGGCATATTGTGTTGTTATCTAATAACTATTTCCTAACAGTTAATTTAAATATGTATAATTTACATCCAGGAGGAATGTAAAATTAATAATGGATCAACAGTGAAATTAAATGAAAGCATCCACAGGAATAACTAGCGATGGGCTGATCTGACAGGTCCATGTATTTAGACCTCCTCCTTTCCCACCTTTCCTCATGTCTCCCTCTCCCTCCTTCCCCCTCTCTCTGTGTAAAAGAAACAATCCCTTTCATGTATTTTTCAGTTTATGGATCTTCGTGAACATTTTTCAGACATGCACATTTTACTTCACAGATCTTTCAAAGTCCTCTAATGTGTGTATCCAGTGCAGATCGACTCCCAAGTGGTTTGGAAAGACGAACTCTCCCTGCCACATTAGACAGAATAAATTTCTCAAACATGCCTCAGCAGAACCAGTAATCACTTCAGTCCTTTTCGGTAAACCTACAAGTCATTCCTTTGCATTGGTTTTCAGTCTAAATAGGACAGAAGGAGGGCAGGTTGCACTAAGGTGTTCCAAGGCTGCATAGATAGATAGCCTGCAGTCTGGCCACAATCTCAGAGTTGACTCATATCTTGTCTTTTGCATCTTCATTTCATCTGCCTCTGTTTCACACAAGTGGTCTGCTGATGAAAAAAGAATACATTGTGTCTTGGGGACCCACATAGGAACTTTAAAAATTAAGGGAAATGAAGGAGGGGGCCAGAAATTCCATCATCTTAGAAGCTAAGCAACATTACTTTTGTAGTAATAGGTAGGTAGGTAGGTAGGTAGGTAGGTAGAGGGAGGGAGGGAGGAAGGGAGGAAGGAAGGAAGGAAGGAAATCCAATGTATTCACAAGCCCGTAGGCTAACAGAAATCTGAGTATAACATGCTATCGTCTGGTTTAAATAACCTTATGCCAGTTTTACAAAACATCACTCAAAATAAGTGTTGGACAATTTCCCATGGTTGGACTATCTATTTTGCAAGGCTCCACTTCTCCGCGATAAAGTTCCTAGTTAAAACACAGCATCTCAGGGTCCATCATGGATATATGAGCACTCTCCTGGCTCACTACAATCTGGTTTGTGGATCAAGGGGATCCACAACTCAAATGAAATGACATAGTCCTCACCAGCCACTATGTCAAAGCGAAATTGAGAACCATTTTCTCTGTACTTAAGTAGCAATTCATGCCACTCACTTAGCATTTGGATCAATGTGGGCCTTCAGCCAGGAAGGAAAGCATGTGGCCAACAATTATATCTATACATGAAAAAACTGAGGCTAGGAACAGTTGCTCCTTCTTAACACAATTCTAAGCAAGAGTTTGTAGACAAAACTGAACACAGGACATACCTTTTGGCAATCCAATGTGGATAGAATTGGAGAGAGTAATATGGACTCACCTTTCTTGCTTCCATTTGAGGACATCTGCTTCTTGCTCAGATGGGTAACACATTTGATATTACTCTTCAAAGACACGAGTCTTTGTTGAAATCATTCTGTTAGAAAGGCTACTACAAGAGTCTTCAGTGACCTCCAGAGTTTTTCTGCGACACTTCTTTATAGCTTCTCTGTAAAATGGGCATGCCTTCAGCCTTTCCTACATGGTGTTTGTGCATATGACATATTGATTGTGATAAAATTGTAAATATCGGAAGCAGTTCTGAGAGTACCCTTCATTCATGTCAATCTAATCTCTAATTGCTGCACACAACTTTCTCTCCAACATTTTGGATGGTTAAGTCATCTCTAATAAATGGCCCAGGGACAGTTTTGCTGACGCTTTAAAACCTGCCTCATTTCTGAAATGCCAATGTTACTCAGACTGCAAAACTTTGAAACAATGTGTTTCATTGGGAGCCAGGACAAACATGGTGTTATGAATCCCTTTAGAGATCTCCCTAACACTCACGTAAATGCAAAGACGTCCAAGGGTTGTATTTCCTATTTGCTCCTGGCTTTCATTTGAGATTTTACAACAATTTACAACAGCCCCTCTGTACATGTGACAATCAGGATTGTGCAGGGATTGCTCCTTCCTTCCCAGACCATACCATTCCCATGGTAGATAAAGAGCTGCATATTAAAACTTCCCTCTAGGAAACAGACAACAGAAAGACATCTGAGTGCACAGAAAACCAGCAAGTAAGAAAGAAGAATTAGAAGAATAGTAAGCCAGGTTTCTACCCCAATGTGCCAGTTTTCTCCAGTGGGAGGGATATCACTTCAAAAACAAAACCTTCAATCTGTGGTCCAAATGGGGAAGAAGGAAAAATGTGCTCACAAATAAGCCTGATGCGCATATGAGTTGCACTTGTATTTTTTTTCCCCCTTCTCATTTCTGATGTGCTAAAGAGAACCTTTTCTTCCTGTTCGCATTTGGAAGTCAAATCTCCCTTGACTCAGTTTTAAAAAACAAAACAAAACAAATCACAAAACCTTCACAACAAATGTGCAGTTAAATAAAACTATCACCACCTGAAAGGATATAGAAATGTTTCTTCATGATGACATCATGATGTTAGATACTAAGGCCTAAATCCAGCTACTAGTCCCAACCAATGTAGGCCCACTGAATCAACAGGGCTTAAATAAGTGTCAACATTCAGAAATTGAGGTAACAAGTGTACTCCAGTTGGGATTAGCAGTTGGATTGAGATCTACATATCCCCTTCCTATCTACACTTCATTCCAACAGTTTCTGTCCTCCTATTCACTGCTTTGCACATGATTACCCTGAATAACAAATGTTCTATGATTAGTCTGACAATACTGTATAGTGGATATTTTGTACTACATATGTACTTCAGTGGCGAAGGAGTCGATACAAAGTTAGGATTGCTCGAGAGATTTCTATCTGCTTTAAAAACACAGGAATAACCAGAAGCCGCCTTTAAAAAATGCCAAGAATCCACACATGAATAGGGCTGAAGTTTGTCAATAGAGGACAAAGATATATCATAAACAATTGTTATTATCATTTATCGACTTCAAGAGTTTCATTTGATAACTTTCCAGTGTTTGCATGCACTTACAAAATAAGAGGATGCTGTGGCTGGAAGACTGCAAGAAATGAATGTACTTCGTTAAGCAAAGCTCTGATTATTGTCTAGCACATGCCGTTCCATCTGGTTGCTATAAAAAGAACATCAATAACCCCTTTTTCATTTGTCTTTAAATATGAAAACAGAATGCACTCAAGCACTTTCATATCAGATCAAAGAAAAAATAATTATCCTCCCTTTTCTTCAAATAATCTAGCTTTTAAAGCTAGTTTCCTAGGAGGCAGATGAGCCAGCTCTGAGATTTGCATTCATGCCCAATATTAAGCTGCCAAACCATACACCAAAGGACTTCAGATCTTTGCACGAAATTACATTTAGAAAAAAAATGGTACTCACGGTCATTGCACTGGTTCCCAGAATATGATGTCATGGAGCAGTCACAAGTGAAGCCTTCCCACTGCTGAATGCAAATGCCTTGGTTGGCACAAGAGTCTTCTTGACAGGTGGTACTTGGACCTGAGGAGAGGCAATAGGGAAATAAAGAAAGAAAAAGCAGCCATTGGAAAAGAGTCATAAGAACGGAGTATCATTTGCCAAAATCATGCATTAAGGAAGAAAAGAAAAACAACATACTTTTCTATTTCATGGACATGCAACAGAAATTTAGGACATAGAAGACATGGAGAATTGCACACTCGGCAACAAACAGAAAACAGTGGCACACAGCAGAAAGAAGGTGTGAAAGGTTGCATATTCCCTCTTAGGCAGAGTCAGAAGAAAGGTTCTTAATAACAAAAGCTTGCTTCCCAAAGTGTCAAGATCCCCAGCACTCTGATACTCCAATGTGCCCATTGTTTATCTCTCTGTGCTTGCTTTTTATCGGAATGGGTTAGAGAAGAGTTTTAGCACTCCAGGCGTTTCTTCAAAGGGCATGAAAAGTGAGAAGGGAGCTAACAGCCCATTTATGTAATATGTGCCCAGTTCAGCCAAGGACTGTTGAGCAGATCATTGACAGATATGGTGAAATGCCACTTCCTCCTCTTTTTCTGTTCCTGTGACCCTACCTGTCTTCCACCTCTATATTTTCTTCACCAAAGAAATAAGAACCTTAGATCTGTCTGGTTGGCTTCTATAATACCTCTGCATACCTGAAGAACTGAATAAAATGGGATGTATTTCTTTGATATATGACCACAGTCATATTTTGAAGACTTTTTAAAAATGTAAGTAGCAGCCACTGATGTTACGTATGTTTGTCATAGCATATCATTTTCATTCATCTATATTGTTTAGTTTTTGAGTTCAGCTCTACATCCTTAAATGCAGATGCACAAATGGGAACTACAGGCTAGTCATCAATCCCAGGCAAAATTCTGGAAGAGATCATAAAGTGGTCATTGTGCAAGCACCTAGAAAACAATGCAGTAATAACTAGATACCAACACGGATTTGTCAGGAACAAATCCTGCCAAACTAATTTGATCTCGTTTTTTGATTAGGTCACCTCCCAGATACACAGAGGGAATGCTGTAGACGTAGTATATGTTGACTTCAGCAAAACCTTTGACCAAGTGCCCCATGATATCCTGATTAGCAAGCTAAGTAGGTGTGGGTTAGATAGATCAAGTGTCAGGTGGATGGATACACAATTGGCTAAAGAATCATACTCAGAGGGTGATGATTAATGAATGGGTCCTTCTATAACTGGGAAGAAATAACAAGTGGGGTACCCCAAGGCTGAGTCCTGGGCCCGGTGCTCTTCAATTTTTTTAATTAACAACTTGGATGAGGGAGTGCAGGGAATGCTTGTCAAATTTGCAGATGATACCAAATTGGGTGGAATAGCTAATACTCTAGAAGACAGAAACAAAATTCAAAATGATTTTGATAGGATGGAGCACTGGGCTGAAAGCAATAGAATGAAATTCAACAGGGATAAGTGCAAAGTACTACACCTCTGAAAAAGAAACCAATTGCACAGTTACAAGATGGGGCAGCAAAACTACAAATGAGAAGGATCCTGGAATTGTGGTAGATCACAAGCTAAAGATGAACCAACAGTGTGATGTGGCTACAAAAAAGGCAAATGATATTTTAGGCTGCATTCATAGAAGTATAGTTTCCAAATTCTGCAAGGTGCTAGTCCCACTCTGTTCAGCACTGGTTAGGCCTCGCCTTAAGTATTGTGTCCAGTTCTGGACACCACACTTCAAGAAGGATGCTAACAAATTGAAACAAGTTCAGAGGATGACAACAAGAATGATCAGGGGGCTGGAAACCAAGCCTTATGAGGAAAGGCTGAAAGAATTGGGCATGTTTAGCCTTGAGAAAGGAAGACTGAGGAGTGATATGATAGCACTTTATAAAATATTTTAAAGGCTGTCATACAGAGTAGGGGCAAGATCTGTTCTCAGTCATCCCAGAATGCAGGACACGCAACAATGAGCTCAAGTTAAAGGAACCAGATTTCGGTTGAATATCAGGAAAAACTTCCTAACTGTTAGAGAAGTACGACAGTGGAACCAGTTACCTTGGGAGTTGGTGAGTGCTCCAACACTGGAGGCATCCAAGAAAAACTTAGATAATCACCTGACAGATATGCTTTGATTGTATTCCTGCACTGAGCAGGAGGTTGGACTTGATGGTCTTGTAGGCCCCTTCCAACTTCACTTTTCTTTGATTCTATGATCATCAAGAGCAAGGAATAGTTTTGTCTACTCTAAACAACTGTAACATCTACGTATAATAACTGACAGCATCCTCTGAGATTTACCAACTATTTCTCCACTCTTATGAAGGGTGAGCTCCACATCAGTTTATGTTATAGCTGTATCAGACTCAGCACATTTGGGAGACCATAAGATTGAACTCTACCTGTCTGAGAACAGAGAAGTTACATTTGGCTCAACTAATGATGGCTTGGGGGTGGGGGAATTGGCACTGCACAGTTCTGTCTCTTCAACAATGTCTGCATGTCCATCAAAGAAACAGTAGGTGCACTCATCTAGCATACTGCTGTGTTGATAAAAAAAATCAAAGAAATAAAGAAAAGGGAGGAGGGGTACTCTAATACACTGCATTCAGAAAGGAAAAAAATCCAACTTTTGGTCTTAACTTAAGTAGACCCATTGAATGAATGGGATTTGTTATGTCAACATTTGATTCATTGACTCCATGTCACTAATTTAGTTGGGTCTAAAAACTGGATTTTGTTCAGCCTTCCAAATGGAATTCCACTCACAGGAATTGCACTCACCCTTCTGCCAGAGGACAATTGTCACCTGCCCCTGAGCCCCTTGTATCTACTGAAGATCTGCTCCAGAGGATAGAGTAGACGCTCTGGGCAGTGTGGCAGGTGGTTTGCACTGCCAGGGAAAGAGGGAATCAGGTTTTTTCCCCTTGCCAGCTTCCTTTAGTGCAGGGATGTGTGATCTTCAGACCTCTGAAGCTTAGTGGGTCACACCTACTTCCACAACCCCACTCCTCAATATTCCCACAAAAATAATATCTACATTGATTTCTTAGATTGGGGCAACTCAGCTCCAAAAATTACACAGTTTCTGCTCTGACAGAGTAACTATGTTAAGAGGATTTGGGCTGCTGTTTTGTGCACCTGAACAGCCACCAACTGGGTCAATGTGGTATGACATTAAGAATTATCCTTTGTAATGAAGAAGGCAGATCAATAATATGCCCTTCATTTAGTAACTGCAGCTTCAAGCACTATGGGAAGGATGAGTTGAATAATTGCTTGTACAGCAATTACTTCCTGAGCACTTTGGGGAAAATAGCCAGTCCTAGAAAGATGGCCATAATGGCAACTCTCCAAACATGGAGCTGAATGGCAGTCATGGTGGTGAGGATGTTGTACAATTACCACCTCCCAGTTTCCCAGCATCTAAGCCAATTGCAGCTCATGACAAGGACACCTTGGCTTGATTATGTAAACTACAGCGTAGTGGAACGCAGCAGTGAAAACCATCAAAAAAGGCACCTGTGCTTCTCAAGTTATCAGTCCAACACTGTGGCATGAATGAACTGCATAAGGGAACAAGGGACCCTCTTTCCTCAAGAGTCTTTTGAGGATGGACCTACCAAACAGATCAGGTTTGCCCAGAAACAGCTTTCAAAGTAATCCCCAGAAAGAAAGCAATAAAACTGTGTACCAACATCTTCAACTATATTTCAAAACACCTTCTGGGATTTAGGTACCTAGAGAAACATGGATGCTTCCAATCTGTTCCTCTGAGTGGTTGTAGTGGAAGCATGTTTTCTTTGTGTGTGTGTGTGTGGGGGGGGTCTATTTCCCAAAGAAGGTGGCATCTTGCAATTCTGACAGGCTGGTGTGAGTTGTACCAGCAGGTTGGAAGTATTGTGGGATATTAGCGCACACAAGATAGGGAAACAGATTCTGTCAGGATTTCAAATACAGTGTCACAAGAATTATGAATGTCACCATGTTTTTGGCTTACATACATATTGCCTCAAATTAAATTCACTGAGGAACCTAGGAGGACTATGCTTTCTAAATTTATCATGCTGTAGTGGTAAATTTAGAAGTGTAAGTTTTAATAATGACAGAACCCATAGCCAGATGGAGAGTCGAAAAATACAAACTGCTGGATGAGTCCATATCAACAAATGAGGAGCCAGTCTTTTGTAACTCTAATGACTCTCAACTGCACATTCAAGACCAGACCATACTCAATTATTTTGAATTACAATACGGATGGCTTGCAAGATCCTACTGTTCCTGGGAAAATCTCTTTCTTCCCATAGCTATGCTCGCAGGGTGCAGGGGAGTCTGGGGGGGTTGCAGCAGATGACCTCATAGTTTCTGCTGATCAGAAAGTCTGAGGCTTCAACCTTTTAAGCTTAGCTCGACTACACTATTGGTTACAAGAGCTACAAAACAGGATGCTCTGGATTTACAGAGGAAGCAGATCTTGGCTGCTGGGTTTTTCCTCCTGCTGCTGCTCATTTCCATAAATACTAAAAGATTCTCTCTTTGATGGTGGTATAAATTACATTTGACTGAGTTCAAACAAACACTCTCTGATCTGATTCTGTCCTTTTACTCTGTGGCCACTTGGTGTACCAGGAAGTCAAATCACTAGATACATCCTTGGGTATTATTCTTGTACCTACCTGTCCGAGCAATGTCTAGACATAATTCACTATATGAGAATCAACCTGTGATGCCGCCTACTAGATCAGCCTTTTAAAAGCCTGCTATGGGTAAATCACAATTCCTTGTGAATCAAGGCAGAAACAAGTATTGGGAGGGTCAAAAACAAAACAGCAAAGGAATATAATTACAAATGAATTGATAGTCACATCACAGGATATGTGGGAGTACTCCAGCACATCTGTAGGGAGATTATTTTATTTTAAGAAACTTTATGCAGAGTTAAATAAAAGAATAATCATAGCAAGTAACTGGTTGAGAATTAGAATGAGTTGCTGAGAGGATCAGGCATTACCTAATCAACTCAGTTCATTAGCCTTGCTTCCCC